AAACTTCTATAAGATTTAACTCTCTCTCCGTGTGTGTGTGTATGTGTGTGTGTTTTCTTATATTATGTATTTTTTCCATTACATTGATCAAGTTCTTGCCATACGTCTAGGGAAAGTGGAGTGGTCCCAAAGGAAAGTAGCTAAATTATTATTCTGCTGATGATGGGATAATGAAGCATCTCCAAGTATGGAAGAGTTTCTTTACTGAAGTGGATGGACCCATTTTGACCTGGAGGTTGTGAGAAGTTGGTGGAGCAGGTGGATTTGAGAGAGAAATGATGAAAATAACTCCTTTGAGCAAGGTTATATTACTCACATCCTTAATGGTCCCAAGAGAGAGCCAGAGAGGAGAGCACCTAATGGACCTCAGAAGCAGGGCAAAGCGTGCCGGTCAGTCAAAAGATGAGGCTTCTTGACCTTCAGAGACTAGGTGGACAGAGGACAAGGAGGGGCAAGGAAGGAGTTCCCGTGAGCTCCAGGGCAACTGCTGGAGTAACTGACCGCTTTAGCTTAGGCAGTCCGGCTCCCGACATCACCGGGACAGCAGAATACTCCAGTCTGATGCTGGAGTGCTTCCTTTGATCACATATTTACCATGTGTGAGCCACATCAATTTTCCCCTACTTTAGACTAATACAAGATTGGTGGCTAGCTGAGTCCAATATCAAGGGCTATTTCTCCACCACAACTTTCTCTTTAGGGTCACATTTTATCTGTACCTCTCACTGGGCTCTATCATCACCACCATCCTTACATTAACGTTCCCAACCTGGTGCCATGGAGACTATTATCATTAGGAAACTTGGTATTTTGTTAGTATAATGAAAGTCTGTGTAGGTGAAAGTCACATGCAATTAGGACTCCACGCTTCAGGCATGAAAAATGAAACCTGAGTTTATTTTCCCACTTATAGAAACACTATGATGTGCACATGACACATCCTAGTAATTAATGGCACAATTTGCCAAGTTGTTACCTAAGTGGGAAACAATAATACTGGCTACCTGTTTGTGTCCAGAGATGAAAACACTGGGCATAAGGATTAAAAGCCAGCTACTTGAAGAATATTTCCTCATCTTGGAAAATAGGTAGCTTAAAACTCAAGTGTTAACTATTTTCCTACTTCTGGATTATAAGCACTTTTGTTTAGGCAGTTGCATTCGAAACCTGGGTGACATTTCCAAGAATTCACTTTCCTCTCTTTGCCAATATACATCTCCTTCTCATTAGTCTCCTACTCAGAGAGGAACGCTCCAGAAAAGAATTAATATTCAGTGAATGACTCCAACGGGATGACTGCACTAAGTATCTTTGTGAATTAAAGCAAATTTAACCCTAAGAATATTAATTCCATCTCTAAAATCAGGCAATGAATGTTGAGAAGATTCAAGTTGTAAACTACTTCCATCTGTCCCTCAACACTGAGTGGTTTGCTCTTTAAAGGCTTTGCTTAGATATGAAAAAGATCTGAGAAGTCTCAAAATGGAAAAATCTAAGTAAATGCAACATTTATCATTTCCTGGCTCATTTTATTTATCACCTAGTCAAACTGATCCTTCCCTACAAATATGTCTCCATTTAACCTCTTGCTTCTCTTTCACGTAAATCCAAGCCAAAAGTACTCTAAAAAATAGTGCCTCATCAATTAGAATAATTTAGATGAAAAAGAACCCATAGTCATGCTTATGATGCAAAAATAGTTCTCAGAAAAGTTTTGCTATTGTTGTTAGTTTGTTTATCTTCCCATTTGTGCATCTAGATATGTTTTTCATTTGTTCCTGTGCATAGTGGAATGTTTATGAATAGTGTTCTGGATGGATCACCAGAAAGACCATCATAGGCTACGATGCCAGTGCTCAGAAATGCACCTACTCTGAAAAGCTCATGTTCCTATTGGTCCAGAGGCAATATGGACCTAGGAAGATAGTAATTTATTGAACCAAGTAGCTTAGATCACATAAGTGCTGGGAAAGATTGATACAGAGCTTTCCTGCATATGACTACTTTTCTTCAAGGCCTGTGGAGGGTTTCGATACTGGTTGTTAGCTTTCTGGTAGATGGAAACTGGATCCTCTGAATGCACAGCACAGAGGACAATCATTGGAACATATTACATCATGTAGTTCAAGTAACCAATAGATGTCATTTGCTTTGTATGAACATATCTGCTTTGTAAGATATGCACACAAGGCTCTAGATAAGAAAAACAAAATTAAAGCATGCAGTTCTTTGTGGAAGAGACCTTCAGTCTACTTCTTTCCTCTCTCTGGGATTGATTTTAATCTTTCTACATACAAATGCGTTTTATTAGAAGAGACTTTTGAAGAATTTTTGAGATTCAGCTGATCACTCAGACCACAGAAGTGGTTCAGTCTGTCAGAGAGTCTGATGAGCATTTCTGCAACAAATCCCATGTATCTGAGAACCCTTGGATTTACAGAAGATGAAGCATCTTGGATTCAGATTCACATCCTGCTGTCCTTTTCATATCTGCTTTACAACAGTATTTTAGTCTTGATTATCTTTGTGTGGAAGGCTGCCTGCTGTGATCTGGAGGGGAAATCTTGCATTGATGGCTTATTGAAGAATGAATTTAAATCATGATTTCTAAAAATACATAAAAAAGAAAGAAAAGGCAGATCACATTCTTTTCAGCCACTGTGGCACCAAAGTAGAACCACATAGATTATAAGTAATGGTGTGCTGGGAGTTCACTCTTATCAGTTATGAGTGACTGAACAGATTAGTTTATCTTTATTACTTTGTAATGTTTGTTTATTAATGATGGCCATAATGATACTTCAAGTCATTAAAATGAAATATATATTATAAATTTTAAGTGCTAAAAGCCTTATTTGAACACAGAGAAAACAGAACATATTGTTAAATAATTTATTCTAGCTATGTGAATTTAATTACTAAGTGAGGGACAGTGGCATCATTACAAACAGAAGAGAATAGTCATGTGAGTAACTTTCATTTGACTAGTTTACTTTCTATTCTATTGTCTGTAATATATTTAATTTTTTCGGGGTCGTGAGATGACTCAGCAGTTAAGAGCATTGGCTCCTCTTGCAGAGGACTCGGGTTTGAGTCTGAACACCCACACGGCATCTAAGAACCATCCATAACTTCGGTTCCATGGTAATCCAACACCCTCTTCTGACCTCTATGGGCAAGAATATCATGAGTGCACTTACATACATTCAGGAAATACACTCATACACCTAAAATAAAAGTAATAAATACATATTTTAAAATATAGAAATATTTTCTAATTATAAAACACAGTACGCCAATCACACAAAATTCAGAAAATGTAGAAATGAGAGAGATGGTGCTCTGTCTTGGCTTGGTTGAGGTTTTGGCAGTACAGGACTGAGAACCTGTCATTAATAAACTTACCAGAGTCAGGGAATATGTACTGTCCACCTTCTGCACAACTCAGACTGTCTGCTTACCCTTTCGTAAGACTCAGTCTACTATATTGGATCTCAAGGAGAACAAATTGCATTTCTTTTACCCAAAATATGCATTTTTATTTTAGAGTCTTATAATTTTCCCCTACTACAGAAGCAAACCTATGGCCCTATAAGTACTTTAAGCCTGCAAACTATTGGGCCCTGATATTAGCTATGACATTGACTGCTCCAGATTATTGCTGCTTAACCTACAAACAGACAGGCATGTGTGTGTGTGTGTGTGTGTGTGTGTGTGTGTATGTGTGTGTTATGCAGTTTGATGGAGTATTTTCAAATTTTCTATTGATTAATTTACCAATGCTTTTTCTCTAAGAAATACATCATATATATATATATATAATCTAGAGAAAACAGGATGAACAGCATTCTGGTGGAATTTTGGTCGAACTTTTCCCAGGACCTAGTTATACCATTTGTCTAACAAATATTTACTAAATGTCTGCTGTGTCTGGTGCTAAGGAGCCTTCAATGAATCAGATAAAATCCCCTGCTCCCTAGAAATCTCCAGTCTCTTTGAGGTCAAAGTGGTTAGGTCAACAAATCCCAGCAGATGTGTAGAATATCTAGTTCTGTAAGAATGGGGACATATGGTATGATGAGTCCTGGATAATGGAGAGGTCCAGGGAGAAGCCTCCTTAAGAGATGTCTTTGGGAGGTATTTTTGAGTCCTGAGAGATTCAACTTTCATGATACAAAGAATAGCTATTTGAGGAAACAAAACAATAGATGAAAAGGTAAGAGAGGTAAAAAAAAGGTACAAGCGATTGGAACAGAAGTTGAGTTTTTCCTGTTGGACTGAACGTGTTTATGGGTGGAGAGCAAAGGTGCAAATTTGGAAAACAAGATTGAGTCTAGGTCAGGAAAGCATCAATGGTCCACTTCACAGGCTTGGCCTGTGGCACAGGGGAAACAGAAAACAACTGTTTAAACAGGAGGGGCTGACGTGTTAATGGCGTTGTTGCTGAATCAGCTGCAAAATTAAGTATTTCCTCTTTAGTGAAGATATTTTCCTTTGACACATAAGAGGGTTTATGATTTGGACAAGACTTGAGGGAGGACTTGGAACTTCATTAGAAAATACAAATTGCCAAAGGTTTGTCCTGAAATAGAAAAAGTATAAACATGACATAGACTTTTTTCTTTATTCTTTTACTCATCGAAATATTGAAGTGCTATGCTAATATAGGATGCGTAGCTGAAACTTGTGCTTTTGTGTGGTGTTTGATGAACAACGACAACACACAGAATGTGGTATTGCTGAGGAAGGCAATCAGTACACAACAAATTTTTAAAAGCCAATTTCTGTTTTGTTCCAAAAATAGTAGAAATTGTTCTTTGAGCCTATCATGTCATGAGTGTTGTCTCTATAGATACCTAGATTAATGAAAAAGTGGGAAAGAATCTGGCGCTTGCCCTTCATGATGGAGAGCTTGCCTTCAAAGCTGGGTCACTGCAGACAACTGTCATTCAAAGGGCCTTGATATGAAATCACAAACCTTGTCTCTCCTCTCCAAACAGATAACACTGCAGGGGTGTATGCACGGCGTGGAGGCTTCAGTCGGCAGAAGCAGGACTTTTACCTCCTGCCCATTGTGATCAGTGATGGTGGCATCCCACCTATGAGTAGCACCAACACCCTCACTATCAAAGTCTGTGGGTGCGATGTGAATGGGGCCCTGCTCTCCTGTAATGCTGAGGCCTATATCCTGAATGCTGGCCTGAGCACTGGCGCACTCATCGCCATCCTCGCCTGCATAGTCATTCTCTTGGGTAAGGATCTCCCTGACAACCAATGTACATCCTTCAATAACTCGCTGGTACAGGCTGGTTCCAAGAAACATGGTGTGTGTAGTGCACATAGTTTAAAGCAAAATACAAGGAGTGCCAGCTCTCATGAACTTTATTGCACAGTGTGTGCAGCATACAATTTAACAAGGGTGCTGGAAGCGCCTGGGGAAGGTTATGATATATATCACAGAGCTGTAGAGCAGATCCATCTAGTAGCTGGAGGGACAGTACTGATAGTTTTGCAGATAAATTTAGGCAGAAACCTGGTGTATGAGTGAGGTTTTCTCTTCAAAAGAGGATGGGGAAGGATTTGGAAGAACAGAGCAGGAAGTCTCATGATAGGCGTGGTAGATTCATGAAGGAACAGGAAGAGCATCAGCCACTGGACCAGTGGACACTGGGATGTTGCCTTTCTCCTAATCGTCATCTGTGATATCTGTTGCCTTGGCCTACAGGAATCCCTATGAGCATTTCTTGCACTAGCTAGTGGAGGTAGTAACTCATCCTCTGCACATATCCAAACATCTCAGAGCCAGTGCGTAACAAAACCTGGATTCAAACACAAAAGTAGACTACAACCACACGCAAGTAGTTCTTAGTAGTTTTTATTTCTCCATTGGTAGAATTAACAAACTACCTCTACAGGAAAGAATCAGTGAGGTTAGTGCAAAACTTACTGAGTGTTTTCTCACAGTCAGAATCTATGGTTGGCTCTGCCGATAAATAAAAGTTTTATATAAGATTTCTGTTCTGGCTGAATTTATAGACTCATAAGGAAGGAATGCATGAACAGACCAACAGCTGCACAGCGTAGATGTTACGATTGGGACGTGAACAGCAGGTAGTATAGGCATAGGGTAGAAAATACCTGACTGCCCAATAAGGTCAGATACATATTCCTGGATAGTATGCATACATGTGGGATGCAGAAAGGGCTTTCTAGCAGGTGAAAAAGGCTAGACTTGGATGGGTGCTCCAAGCATAGGGAATAAGATATGAGGAGCGCTGGAGAGCTTATGCTTGGGGAGACAAATGTATAAGCCACAATACAGTGATAATTGTTATGATAGCAGAGGTACCAATAGCCATGCCTGGTATCAGAATGGCACACCAAGAAATGTTTCCTTAATGAATGATAGGAAGAGTCGGTCAAAGAAAGAAAGTGAAAAGGAGTGGATTGGGAGGAAGAAGGTGTTGCTAAGACCAAGTCTCAAGGCTCTCTGGACCTCATAAAATCCGAGGCAAAAGTGCCTCTTATCCCTGCACTCAGAGAGCAATGTGGACTCAGAGATGCTCGTGGCCCATTTGCCAAATGCAACCACAAAACTTGTCTTCAGTCTGGCTGAATGAGTGGTAGGATCTTCAAATAAAACACGGTTGAGAAGGAGGAGAAGGACACAGAGACTCAATAGAAAATTCAGCAGTGTCTAGGTTTCCTTGTAAATGACCGCTTACTCTACCACACTCCCTAAGCCTAATGGAAGACCTCTCCAGGAAAGAAGATTGCTTTTTCTGGTCTTTCAGATACACTATTTTTTTTAGTATTTTATTTATTATTTTTATTTTATGGTATTGTGTCCATGTTGTGCAATGCCCTTAGAGGTTAGAAGAGGATGACAGATCCCTTGAGAGTTACAGATGGTTGTTAAATGCCATGTGGGTGCTGGGAATCGAACCCAGGTCCCCTGCAAGTTTAGCCAGTGCTCTTAACTGCTGAGCCATCTCTCCAACCCTGGCACTCTGTTTTGATGTCCAAGTAAACAGTATGCTTTTCTCCCAGCGCCCCCCAACCATTATGGTAAGGTTTTATTTCTATATTATAAAGCAGGGCATCTGGGTAGGAGCAAGTTTTCACTCAGAAATGTCCCGAGTTCTCTGAGCAGCCTCATCCTCAATTTGGGAAAGGCAGCTACACTTGTAATAAGAAAGGTGAATTAGCTCCCTTTAAGAAATGGTAATCCTCACATTGAGAACCTTCTTGAGTCTTAAGAAGTCTCCTGCTGAATAGCATTGGGATTCATTAGCAAACACTTCCAAATAACTACAGATCATTGGACATAGACTCTCAGGGCAGCTTTTGTAGACCCAGTGAAAGGTCAGTGTGAAGGCCTTAGGGAGATTCTGGGAAAGATCTCATTTCCTCAACTGCTCTCAGTTCTGAAACATTCTTCACCCTTGATGGGAAGCAGAGTTGCCTTGGGAGAAGCATCCAGGGAGACTGGGCTTAACCTCCGCTGACTTTCTTTTTCTTTCCCTGTAGTCATAGTCGTATTGTTCGTGACCTTGAGGAGGCAAAAGAAAGAGCCACTCATTGTATTTGAGGAAGAGGATGTTCGTGAAAATATCATAACTTACGATGATGAAGGGGGCGGGGAGGAAGACACAGAAGCCTTCGACATTGCCACCCTGCAGAATCCGGATGGGATCAATGGATTTATCCCTCGCAAAGACATCAAACCCGAGTATCAGTACATGCCTAGACCTGGGCTCCGGCCAGCACCCAACAGCGTGGATGTGGATGACTTCATCAACACGAGGATACAGGAGGCAGATAACGACCCCACAGCCCCTCCCTATGACTCCATCCAAATCTATGGTTACGAGGGCAGGGGATCCGTGGCCGGGTCCCTGAGCTCCTTAGAGTCTGCCACCACAGATTCAGACTTGGACTACGACTATCTACAGAACTGGGGACCTCGTTTTAAGAAACTAGCAGACTTGTACGGTTCCAAAGACACTTTTGATGATGATTCTTAACAATAATGATACAAATTTGGCCTTAAGAACTGTGTCTGGCATTCTCAAGAATCTAGAAGATGTGTAAACAGGTATTTTTTTAAATCAAGGAAAGGCTCATTTAAACAAGCAAAGTTTTACAGAGAGGATACATTTAATAAAACCGCAAGGGAATAAAAGTGGTAAATACTGTGAAGCACCTTTGCCCACACACAGCAAAGCAAATATTAAAGTTGTTTACCAACTTCACTAGAGAAAAACCACTTGGCATACAAAGTATTTAAACGAAGGAGAATTCCACGTGAACTTAACAGTGAAGGGAAATCGTCTATGTGTTATGAACATCTAAGTCTCTCTTCTTTTTTAATTTGTCAAAGAAGCTTCCACAAAATTAGAAAGGACAACAGTTCTGAGCTGTAATTTCGCCTTAAACTATGGACACTCTATATGTAGTGCATTTTTAAACTTGAAATATATAATATTCAGCCAGCTTGAACCCATACAATGTATGTACAATACAACGTACAATGTCTCTTGAGCATCTATCTTGTTACTGCTGATTCTTGTAAATCTTTTTGCTTCTACTTTCATCTTAAACTAATACGTGCCAGATATAACTGTCTTGTTTCAGTGAGGAGCGCCCTATTTCTATGTCATTTTTAATGTATCTATTTGTACAATTTTAAAGTTCTTATTTTAGTATGCATACAAATATCAGTATTCTGACATGTAAGAAAATGTTACAGCATCACACTTATATTTTATGAACATTGTACTGTTGCTTTAATATGAGCTTCAATATAAGAAGCAAACTTTGAAATAAAAAAAAAGATTCTTTTTTAATTCTGGGTTTGATTCTTAACATTGAGGAAAAAAAGTAAGGGTTTCTAATGATCCATTTATATTTCTAATTTAATTGTGATCTTTTAAAATCCTTTTTATGGTCTTCTATAATCTTTCTGCTGCTCTTACTGTTTATTTAAATCAAATATGTTTTATGGTTTTCTCTCAGATACGATTCTGTAACATCATGTAAACTACTTTTTGTACATTCTGCCATGAGCCTCCTTACCTCTCTTCCCACATACCTGCTGAACAAAACTTGAGGTCTAGATCAGTCTATGACTTTGTGATGTGTGTTATATAATATGCATTTAACTTGTTAACGCATAGTTATGAGAGACAAATTCATGAGGAAATGAAAATTATCAGATGTCTTAATGTTCTGGATGTAGACTTTATGCCCTGCCTGAGCATTGTGGAGTCGGAGGAAGGAAGCGTTGGAATCAATGCTATTCTGACTTTCCTTCTGTCATTCTTATCAGGATAAAGTGAGACTTTGACAGTTGAAAAAAAAATGTTTATTTTTCTTCCTGTAATTCTATTTTATCTTAAAATAATATAAAATTTTAAGTTTTGGTAAGAGAAAGGGCAATTAATTTCAAAACCGTTGCTTTAGAAGATGCTTTGGGCTGTAGACTCAAATGAGATCAGGGACCATGTGCACTGAAGGATGATGCTATCTGATCTGTGAGGATGCCCATAGTCACTTGTGGTCCCTCTAGCTTCCTGGGGATTGGGACTTCTGTGAAGGACATTTCACTTGTACAGTTGGACCAAAGGTCGAAACGAAGCAATACTTAGGGGGAAAGACCACACAAAGTCATGCTGTGGTACTTTCCCTCTTTTCCCGAAACACAGGGCACATGTCTTTTTCTTGGATTGCAGGCAATTTTTAGATTATCTTTTCTTATTTTACTGTGAAAATTTGTTTCAAACATTTCTTGATAGCCTGTTGTGTGCTATTTTTATGACTCAGTCAAAATGCATAGAGAAGAATGCTTTTTATGAAGCACTCATTCCCATTTTATTTTGCATTGAAATCAAATTAGCTGAACGTTTCAGTGGATGACACTCTGCGGACAATGTCACTTGAACATCTCATTCATCCCAGGAAGGATTGTGCATTCTCAGTACTTTTGTAATTGTAGGTTGTGTTCCTCTTTTAGGTAGTTTTTGTAATCCAAAGAATACTTTGCTAGATTTGCACAGATCTCCAATTGAATTTGAAGTGACAGAAAATCTCAAAAGGAATTCAAATAGCACTTAAACAAGTATGCAGCTGTAAGCAAGCCCATCACCATGTGTGATCCTTTTTTCTAAAAATGTGTTTGGAATACAGTTGACAACTCCATCTTCACATTTTTATGTCAAAGATTTTTTAAAAGCTGTCTACTTTTCAATAGTTAAAAATATTTGCTTTTCTTTTTCCTTTTTATTTCTTTTTTTCTTTTTTTTTTTTTTTTACATTAAGGCTCTATTGTTTGTAGAACCCTCTCAGAAGCTTGAAAATAAAATGTCTTTCCCGACTAGTGGAGTCCTTTTTCATTTGGAACACGTTGCCTTAAAAGCAATCTCAGTTTAAGTGCTCCTTCCTTATTTTGATACAAAGTAATCACTGCTTTATGACATTGGTGCACACATAATGAAGATGGAATGTTGCTCCGTTCAGCCTGTCCTTGAATAATGGGTATGGTATGGCTTATATTCATCACTCACTCATTCATTCGTTGATACCTTCATTTATCAAAATCTTATTTTTCAGATGCTGCAGTAGCTACTTGAGGATGTAGAATAATTCTTGTTATCTTCTTTGACATTATTTATTCTTTCCAGTCACAGACCAAAATATCTATTTTGTTGTTTTTCATTTCACTGTTTACCTGCTTGTCTACCCATCTCCCAAGACAATGGTATGTTAACAGAAAAAAATAAATAAAATGAAAGGCAAACCCACTGCAACTGCTCTGGACAGAGCTGGTCTTTATATAAATGACATCCCCAAGGTCCTGAGGACGATGAGGAAATTAGGAGCAGATTATCTACATTACTTGGAATATATTTAGCACATTCATTCATGGTGCCCAGTGAATGTGACTCTGTGGATCAGCTGGGATCTTGTAAGGAGTATTTGAAATCTCTTCTGAGTGCTGTGCTACACCCTTCAGTTCTTGGTGAGAACTTTTACAGACAGATGGGAGGTAGGGAAATGGGATCTCTAAACAGAGCAGTTATAAGCTCTATGTGGCAGACAGTATGGGGCAGAAACAGGCCAGAAACAGAAACAGGCCAAGAAGTTGTTGTGAAGATCACAATGAGATGTAGAGAGAGCTTGAAGTCTGGTTAATACGAGATGGTGAAGAGGCAAAGCCCTCCTTGCTTCTGTTCAGCTATCGTGCAGACTGGGCCATTGTCATCTGTCTGACAACCAAAGCTAACACTGTTAGCTGTTTTCCACCTCAGAATCTTCTCCTCAGAGAAGTCACAGCATTATTTTTAGAAAATAACTCAGACCACATGATTCTATAACTGAAGTCTCTTCTGACTTCCCAAAGAACTAAGATAAATTTGGATTCCTTTGCTTTTTTACTTTATATGACTATGTCCAGGCAAATTCTTTCAGTTTCATCTTATTCCATTCTGCTCTCAGTGCCCAGTCCTCCTTCCACACTGTATACCTTTCAGTTCCTTATACAGATTAAATGTGCACCCATTTATACTTAAAGAAGTTTGATTTCCTTTGTATCAGTGATCACTCATTAAACTTCTTTTGTGGTCATTTTCTTGGTGGGGGAGAAGTCTGACCACCCATCAGATTGTAAGCCCCAGGAGGGCAGGGTCCTTTCTTCCTTTTCCTGAAAGAAAGAGTAAATATGTATTGTATGGATGAGAACATATTGACATGACAGGGTAATTAGGGTTTGATGGCTGATTAAAGAATGCCATTGGAATTTTGAGCATCCTTTTTTTTTCTGAGAAACTGGGTCCGCTGTTATCTTGATACCAAGGATTATGGCATGAAAGAGGAAATAGGATTGAGAAGAAGAAATTGAATTCAACTTAGGGAGTCATATGAATTAAAGATGTTGTCAGGGAGTCATAATCACACATGTTCAAGCAGCTTACTGGAGAAACAGGGAAAGGGAATGGGGTGGGAAAGTTATCCACCAGGCACCCAGACTCAGGGGTTTCTTCTGATTGGATTTTCACTGCTCTCGTCCAGCTTTAAAAGGACATATCAGGTAGGAGAGGTTCCATTTGCGTAAAATAGTAATACTGATTTTGCTTTTATTAAAGATAATCAGTAAAAATAAAATTTACCATTCTGTGCCAAAAGTTTTGTAATCTAGGGTGTATCAATTAATTTGGTAATTATTCTCTTAAAGAGGTGCACTTCTTGGAGACTCTTACTGTATGAGGGTCATGTATTATACCTGTGAACACATTCTATCTCTGTGGGAAGTCAAAGTAAGGTTTACAAGTCTCATTTTGCAATGAAGGATGTTGCAGACCTGAAAGACTGAACAGCAACAAGAATTGATGTCAAGATTGGATTCAAATTTCATTTCTCCCACATTAATCAGGAGGCATATCATCTAAACTTAAGTTGCAGATGTCACTGGAAATTACCATTCCTGAAGAACATCAGCTTAGGGAAGGCACTGAGCATGAGAATTTGGAAGGGTATAGAAGCTTCCCCACATTTATGTGTTCATATCGTTGCAATGAGAAAACATTCACCTTGATGTTTGACAACATGGTGGAGTTATATGTCATTTTATATTAAGTGTATATTATAAGAAGCTTTCATAATAATAGATTTCCATATGAATTTTTGAAAAGGCCCCTAGTGTTGATTATCCCTCTCCACATTTCCACCTCTGCCCTGCCCGCCCATTCTCCATCTCATTTAACCTTTTCTAACCCATTACTCCTCTTTCTCCCTTTGTATCACTGCATTCTGTGTCACCTCCAATGAAAAGAAGCCCCCTCCCCATGGTTCACCACTACTTTCCTAACCTCTACAGATTTCCAAATTGAAAGACACACATCTAAAACGTCAAGATTAGCATACTTATGATAGTGCATGTGCAAATGTTGGTCTTTCTGGGTCTGGGTTACTAAGTCAGGATGAATGTGTCCAGTACCATCTGTCTACCTGAAAGTCTCATGATTTCATTTTTCTTAACAGATCAGTAATGATGTTTTTTATCATCCAGTCATTAGTTGATGGACATTTAGGTTTTTCCCATCCATTTGCTGGCTATTGTGAATAAAATTAAAATTAGCATGGATGATCTGGTATCTCTATAGTAGGATATTACAGAACACTTTGAGTAGATGCCCGAGAGTGGTATGACTGGATCATATGGTAAATCTATTTCTAGCTTCTTGAGGAAGCTCCACACTGGGTTCCACAGTGACTGCAGTAGTTGCAGTAGTTTTCCCTTCCACCAGCAGTGGATAAAATTTCTCCGTTGCCCACATCCTCACCAGCACTTGTTCTCATCTTTGTTCTCGTTTTTTTCTTGGTTTTTTTTTTTTTTTTTTTTTTGATCTTAGCCATTGTAACGGGGGTAAGAAGAAATACCAAATGGTTTAAATTTGCATTTCTTTAATGGCTAAAGATATTGAATGTTTAAAAAGTATTTCTCAGTTATTTTTATTTCATCTTCTGAGAACACATT